TGGACGTTTTTGTTTTTAACTTATAAAATTTTGAGTTTTGTTTTTTAGTTTTTGTTTTTGGCCTATGGCCTTTTTGAGGTCATTTAAAAGGGGCCATTTAAAATTATATATCTTATTTAAGTTGGAAATCAGTATCTATTTTATGAAAACTTATTTTTCTTCACAATTTTTGTGTACCTGAAACCAGATTTTAAACCTCATTATTTGTTGAATCAATTGTTTTTGTTTGCATTCTGCATCAACGAGAGATCCCAAAAAGCATTGTCGACGGACTTTGTGAACACAGGTTTTTGGCTATGCAATCTATAATGTAGACTCTCCGTGGGGTGTTACCCTATTAATTGGTCACTATAATATAGAATAAAATGGATGAGCAATCATGTATACAAGGATGGCAAAATGCATGAATCGTAAAATTTGAAAGTGATCATAATACCGAAATAATGATGATCTTATTGCATTCGAAAACAACGTATACAGGTATATATGTTAATATATATGTTTAATAGTCTTTGAATCTAAAATACAATATGATTCGTGTATTCTAAGCTCTTCACCTTCTTCCGTTGGCGAAGCTGGCTCTCAGAAATGCCATAATTAACAGAAGAAAAACAAAATGAGAGTATCCCAAATATTCCCCAATGTGGGGCAATACAACAAATTAATTTTCTTGAGAATGCTATAATTTTAATTTTAACAGACTGGCAAGTCTGCTGGTGCTTTCTGTAATTTCTGGGATACTTCCGGCCCATCTTCTACTAACAACACCATCGCCAAACCCCACCCGATGTGAACATCCAAGTGACAGTGCATAATCCAGGAACCTGAGGAATGCAAAACATGAAAGTAATTAAGGGAGATATATAGCTATAGTTCTAGAATATATGATCAAGTTTTTTTTTTTATTTTTTCTTTTTATTTTAATTAACTTCATAATTGATTCCCGTTCTTAATTCACCTGGATTATCAGCAACAAATCTAATGACTGCCCACCCACTGACAGGTAAACTAGCGGTATTTCTTAGAGGTGGATCCACGAGGTTGAATTTAGATGTGTCGGTTGCTGGATTGAAGTTTCCAAATCCTTCTGCAATTATGTAGAAATCATATCCATGAAGATGGATTGGGTGGTTCTCGGCCGTTGAGATGTTTGTACCTTGCAAAACAATCTGCACCGTTTCTCCATATTTTAACTTGTACACCTTTGTGCCTCGTATAGGTTGCCATAGAGACTGGGGTACATTACCAGTGTAATCAAAGGTCACCGGAGGATTCGCCGGAAAGTCAGTTGTGAAAACTCCGGGAACGCCGAGGTGATGTGCTTGGAGGATGGTGAAATTGGATGGGAGCACAAAAGATACGTTGTTCATGCTCGCAGTGAATCGAGTCCTGTTTGGCGCCTGACACGTACTGGCCGGTGCTGTAGGTGGGCATTGAAGTATTCCAAGGCCGGCAGTAATAAACATATTGACGTCGATGTCGGTGGGAACCTTCACTTTTTTCGGGCTCCGGAAGCTGGTGCTGAAGGAGGTGGCGGTGGCGGTGTCATTATAAGCTGGGAGAGAAGGCATAACGGGCTTTGAAGACACACCCTTTGCCGGACATGGGGCGGTTTTGTACTCCAAAATGGCGGTTGTGGTAGTGTTGTCGAACGGAACTCCCTGTGCACTGGCGTAAGCTCGTCCGGCAATGTAGTATCGAGCTGGTGGTTGGTCGGCTTTGATGAGTACATCAGTGGTTTGGCCTGGTCCGAGCATGAGCACCGAAGTGGTGAAGGGTTTCACGTAGGATGCATCCGCCCCCACGACGATGAACTTGTGGTTAGCTATCGTGAAGAAAAGCTGCTGATTTAAACCGGCATTGATCACCCTCATTAGGTTCGTCTCTCCTGAATCCACTGGAACTATGACAGTATCTACATTATCCAAAAAAGCAGATCGTGTTACTTAATTAATTAACATATATGTATCAAGATTCATCAACTTATTAAAAGCCCACTTTTTTTTTTTCTGAGTTATATATGAAGCAAACCTTTTCTGGAGCAGTTATAGAGATCGCCAGGTTGACCATTGATGGTAAACGCATCAGAAATATTCGGACCTCCTCCTGTTCTCATGGCTTCCCTTATAACATCGAGCGGGTTAGCATTCCACCATTCACCTGATCATCATCGTAGCTTATTATATATTTCAATCACGCGAATTAATATACATTTGTATCTTATTAATTAATTAGTGGATAAGTAGCATACCAAGAACCATGACTGATTCACGTTTTGGCTTTTGAAACGGATATGAATCTCCTTGTTTAGGGCGAATAACAAGAGCACCATAAACAGTGGCTCTGACCCACGAGCTATGCGCATGCCACCATAGCGTTCCTTCTTGCCCTGAAATTGTGAACCTGTAGGTGTAACTCCCTCCTGGTCTTATCGGACATTGAGTGATGAACTCGGGTCCATCTGCCCATGCTGTTGTTATTTGTCTAACACCGTGCCTGAACAGTTAATATATCAGAAAAACAAATTATTTTAGATCATCTATGTGGTTATTCTTATATATGCATGCATGCATGGGGTTACATATATAGTACCAATGAATGGTGACGTTATCTTTAGCTCTATTGACGACATTTATCACCAAACTATCACCATTGTTCACTTCCAAGGTCGGTCCTGGTAATTGCCCATTCACCGTCATAACAGTCTGGGTTTTGCACAGGCGTGTCACTTTCGTTTCTTGAACCTGATCCCATAAGAATATCGTTAATTAGTATATATGTACATCGATCAACACATATAGCAACAAAAATATACATATATATATGTAGTAAATGTGACGAAATAAACGTACGACGAAGTCATGATAGTGAGTTTTTGCATATGCCAAAGAGACTATGCTCGAAAACAGAAGTAACACGCTGGTTAAGGTTCGCCCCATTGTCACCATATTGTCGGAGTTTTGGGTGTTCTTTTTTGTTGTAAAGGTGGTGTGTATGCAAATATTGAACCAGGAGAAGTTAGAGATTACTTGTGGAATAGGGAGAGAGAAGAGTTAATTATATAGAGAAGAAGAAATAGAGATAGTTGCTTGAAGTTGGCAAAGTAGGTTTTGATTTTGGGGCTTGGGGTGCTGGTCAATTCACAAAGGCAAAATTGTTCAACCTGAGTTGGTGCACCCACTGACCTATCACAATGCGATCAAAGTTTTCCATGATGCTTGCTTCATAAGCCTTCTTTCCTGTCTTTTAATTATTAATTAAGTTATTAAACGCCTTTACTTTCTTTAGTCGACTATTCTGGCATGTTTGGAATTGAGTGTTTGGCAGCGTTTGCGAGCTTCTAGCTTCTAGCGTTTGACGAAACGCTCCGTTTTAAACAGAAAGCATTGTTTGACATAACAAGCTTCTAACGTTTAATTTAAACAAAATGTTCCAAATCTAAATGCTACTTCATATAGCGTTTAACAAAATGCTACAAACTACAAGTTACCCGTTATAAACTACCCGTTATCAGCAGAAACTATGTGGCTTGCTCGGCTTTATGTTATTAAAAGATAGAACTTTATAAGAATGGTAGGGCATATATATTTCTTCATGCAGTTAAATGAGTATTTACTAAAATAAATCGTGGTTTTATATATTTTTTTTTGTTTCCACGTTTACATTTTAAGAAATGTAAATTCGTATGCTTTGAAAATTAAAAATCTCTCTATGACTTTGTAGACAATTGTTCAACGTTGTAAATTGGATTATGAAGCTTTCATGGTTTACAAAATTTACTAAAAGAGAGGCACATGTTGACTTTGACGCTAGTTAGGTCAAGGTTTTAAATTTAGTAAAATGTAATTTCTACGTTTTGATATTTTATTATATGTATAAGAAAGACAACACTACGTCTTGTAAGAAAAACAAAAAATTTCTCGTGATGTTGTGTCTTTCTATTTAATGGAGAGGTAGAAGTTGTACAAACATTTGAGCAACCCCAAAATAGTCATTCACTTGACAACCGACACATGGATATCCTCATGTAGGGATGAAAATTTGGCCCGAAAATCCAAACCGAACCGAAACCCGAATCGAACCGAACCGAATTAGGTCCGAATAAGCAATTCGATTCGGTTTTCGGGTATCTATATGAGGCTTATTCGGTTTTCGGGTTATTCGGTTCGGGTTACCCGAATAAGGGCTTATTCGGGCCAAATGGACCGAACCGAATTTTAAAAGTCACATTTTTCCCCTTGATCGATAGCTTATTCAGTCTTATACTCTTGTGTTCTATCGATCATAACCCAATACCCACGTAACCTGGAAACAAAAAAAATCAATGCAATTGATCCCACTAGCGTAATACACCAAATCAACAACATGAATATTTGATCGATCGAGAGTTTTTCTCATCCCTATTTGCGAGTTGCGGCTGATGCCTTGATCGATCTACTGCCTTGAATGTTAATCTGTGTTTATATTCTTAGTACACAAATTCTAACTCTTTTTGCACCTTTGAAACAATTATATATACCTTGTATTATTTTTATTTAAGAAATTTGTTTCTTTAAAAGATTTGTTATGAAATCATAAACTACAAAAGTCATACAAAATACAATAGTTATAATCATATTGTAAATGTTATTTGGGTTATTTGGGTTATTCGGGTTATACAATCATAATAGGTCATTAATCATCTTATACATGTTATTTGGGTTATTCGGGCCGAAACCGAACCGAACCAAATAAAACTCGAATCGAACCGACCCCGTATTGCTTATTTGATTCGGTTTTCTGTTCATACAATTACCCTTATTCGGTTCTCGGGTTATTTTGGTTCGGTTCGGTTCTGGCCCGAATAACATCCCTATCCTCATGTCAAAAGATAAATTATATGGTTGTCACAGCCCACTTCATTACCGAAGATTTTGTCATGCACAAAAGGTTAGTCAACTTTAGAGAGGTTGATACTCACAAATCTGAAGACATGGCCCGGGAGTTGTTAATTTGCATAAATGAGTGGGTGGATGAAGAATGTCATGACGATGACAGTTGAGAATGTCAAGACAAATGACGCGGCAATCAACATCATTGTGAAAAAAATATCGGGTATTTACGAGAATGGCAAACATTTTCACATTAGGTGTATGACTCATATCATAAACATAGTTGTGAAAATGCTGTTAAAACACGAAGTTTATCATGTAAAAAACCTACAAGATGTGGTAAAATACATTAGAACCTTCCCGCAACGGATCAAGACCTTTAAACAAGCCATGAAGGATGTGGCTGTAGAAAGTCAAAGGTTTTTGTGTGGTGAAACTCCAACAAGGTGGAACTCTACCTTTGAATTGCTAAGATCAGCATACGATGTGAAAGACGCATTTCTCGAATATAGCCATCAACGTAAATAAAATCAAATATATTTCAGCACTAAAAAATAGGAATATTTACTTCTTTAGCAATCTGTCCAAATTTTGAATTGGGCATAACTCACTCAATTTAAATTGTTTTGATCTGAATCTTTTTCCTACATGTAGATTAGGATTTGTAGTTGAGTTTAGAATATAAAAACGCTTGATTTGGTTAAAAATTAAATGAGTTACAAGCCCCGCAAGGAAGGGTGTCAAAGTTGATTTTTTTTTTCTAACAACAATAAAACGTAATCTGATTTTGTTGTTCAAATGTGCATAACTCATTCAATTTAACTTGTTTTGACCTGAATCTTGTTTCTATATGTAGATTAGGATTTGTAGTTGAATTTAGACTATAAAAATGCTTGATTTGGTTAAAAATTGAATGAGTTACAAACCCCACAAGGAAGGGTGTGAAATCTGAATTTTTTTTTCTAACAGCAATAAAACGTAATCTAATTTTGTTGTTCTTTTTTGTAGATCCAATGTTTCATAAAACTGTGGGAAGGGTACCATCACATTCAGATTTTGAGATGATTAAAAAGATGATGGAGTTCCTTGAGAAGTTTAAGAAGAAAACTGAAAAAGTTTTGTGTTCAACAAAGCCTATCTTCCATACGTATACCCGGGAGATCCTAGACATAGAGCAACATCTTAGGAAACATGAAACCAACCCGGATTTATGTTTATGGTACCGGATATGAAAGATAAATATGACAAATATTGGGGTCACTATGATACTATAAGTGATTATGTCTTCTTTGCGACATTGTTAGATCCTCAATGCAAGTCAAAGTTTATGAAAGTTGTTTTTACCCAAATGCTTAAAGCCAAGAACATAGATAAAAAGATGTCCGCTGATGAGATAGAATCCAAAGCACGTGCAAAGGTTATTGATATCGAATGCAAATTGGACAAGTTTTTCAATGCATACTTGGAAAGGTCAAACATGACCTCATCGTCTCAACAAGAAACTCCCGAAGAAGTTGTTAATTTTTATGACGAAAACGAATTCTTTGGAAGCTATATGACTTCGGGAAGTTTCCTCTCGACTTCGTCAGAAAGTCAATTGCAACGATACTTAAACGAGGACCCAATCTGATTTGACAAATGATATGATATCCTCACACGGTGGAAAAATAACGCGGTGTGGTTCCCGATCGTTGCTCGAATGGTAAGAGGTATCGACCTTCTTTTACTCTAATTTTCATTTTTAACTTATAAATTCGTGTCGTGTATAATACACTAATTTGTTTATTAATAGATATTTTGGGGATGCAAATTTCCACCGTAGCATCCGAATCCACATTCAGTAACGGTCGTCGAGTAAGTACCGACTACCATACTAATTTGTCCATTGTGATTGTGGAGGCATTGATATGCACTCAAGATTGGCTAAGAAAGAGTAGCTTGCCTATATATGACTACGACGAAGTGCATGATGTGTTAGCTGACGATGACCTCGCTATCGGTAATACACTAATACTTGTTACATCTTATTTTTAACAACTTATTAGTATTTGTTACATTTTAGTAAGTAATAACATTTTTCTTTTGTATTATATATAGACATTGTGGATGCTATACACAACTTGAAGCTAACGGGGAAAGGATCGGGGAATTAGTCAAAAATGTCAAATAATTGTTGGAATCCACATATTAGACTTTGTTTTTTTTTTTGTTGGTGAAACTTGAAAGTATATTTTGAATGTTGAAAGTGTATTTTGAATATTGAATGTTTGAATGTTGGATACTTAATAACATAACTTTGACGACATCCACGTTTAATTTGCTTGTAATAATTTAAATAAAAGATCCATGGTGTTGTGTTTGAAAAAATCATGTCAAGGCAACGAAAGGGTACGCATCATATGACCACCCCTAATCGTTTATTAAAATGTTGATTATTTACTAGTATTTAAACATCCACTTCTTCACAACCAACCAATAAAACGCAAAGTAATTTAGTCATTGGATTCATCAAAATTTATTCGTTGGATACATCAAAATTTAGCCGATTCCAAAATCGAAAAACCAGCAAAAACCGGACCCAGAACCGGAACCGGTAGAACCGCCGGGCCGGTTCGACTCTTCATTTTGGCCGAAGCCGGTTCCCCGGTTTGGGTCGGTTCGGTTCTTTTGCTCATCCCTATTAAATACAATGTTATTCAATCACTAAGCTAATATTTCAAGGACTGAATACCAGTCTCAGATACAGTGTCATTCAGTCTCTAACCAGGTTTCTTAGGGACTACATATCAATTTCGGATACAATGACATTTAGTCTCTAACTTGATTTTCCAGTGATTGAATATTAGTCTAGGTTGCAATGTCATTTAGTCCTTAACATGGTTCTTTGTGATTGTATATCAGTCTAAGATTCAATGCTATTCAGTCCCTAACATGAATTTTTAATGACTGAATATTAGTTTCTGATACAATGTCATTGAGTCCCTAACATGCTTTTTCAATGATTGAATATCAGTCTAAAATGAAATATCATTTGGTCCCTAACCATTTTTTAGTGACTAGATATCAAACTCATATTCAATATCATTTTAGTATTAATAACTAGTTGTAAGTGCTATAGTTTTAGACTAAATATACTGAAAACAGAAGATGTATTGTAATCTAGACATCATTTCCAAATTAAAACAATAAACAAAAAAAAAGTCTAAGCAGTGTGTCAATAGTAAAACCATATCTGAAAAAAGTTCTAACTTTTAAATAAAGGTCATGATTGTTACTCATGATCTGATATGTTTGTCATGTCATCATATGCACGAAATCCTTCTTTATCAGGTGGGCATAATATGTTTTGAGAATATGGGAACTGGGAGATCATAAATTGAAGCATCTTTTCACATTTCTCCTCGCTTTGTTTCACTTTTTTTTTTGTTTTCTCGAACATCTTTTTCGAGTGCAGTAACTTTATTTTTCAAAGCCATTTCATCCGTTAAGGCTGATTGAGACATTTCCGCTGCTGATAAGATATATAGATCTTTTTTCCTCATAATAGGTCCACTTGAAGCCTCCCATCCAGATAGTAATATTTTATGTTTGGCACAACCGGTTTTAATGGCTTTTTTCTCAATTTCATATTCCATTTCTGAATAATGCATATTCCTGCGGAAACTAATTTGGTACATTCATCCTCTTTCATTTGGAGAATATTTTCCTAAAACAACATAAAAACATATTATAGTAACTTGTATGTAACACCGATATCAATATATTACAGATGGAAATTAATATTACTCGAGAAATCATTCTTACATATTGAATGTGTGTCTCATCATTTAGCCATTCATTTGTAGGATGAAAATGCAACTTATGATATAATTCGATTGGGGTGGGGGCTAATTGAGTCTCTTTGTTTTTCAACAATAATAAAAATTACCATAAGAACAATTATTTATAACTGATACAAATATAAACTAATTAGTAGTTACCATGGTATATATGTGATTTGCTATTGATCGAGAGTCTCTTCTACTTTAAATCACTAGTTTTTCTTGATTATTTTTCATTTGATCAGCACACTTCTACAAAATTTAAATTGTACATGGTTAATAACATATAAATAACAATTAATTACGTAAAAGATGTGTATATGTAAAGAGTGACAAAGTTATATGTGCTTTATCTGTATCCCAATAATCACACAAATAAGACCAATCTTCTTTGCTACGACAATCTAGCTTCAATTTAGATCGTGTTAATTGTGGACCGGTCATTCCTCCATTTTTCTTCCAAAAATCTTTCAAAGTATTTCGTGTGCATTTCCATTGCCTTCGCATTTGCTCATCTACATATTCCATCAAAATTATATCTACGTGCGATATTTAAAATTTTGCCTGCTTTTAGTACAAATTTTATGGGTCGTTTGATTTACCTTCTAACTGGGTCTGAAGTTAGGATCCGGTCCTCAGTCTAAGGTCAGCTTGTTTGTTTTCCTTTCTATACCTTTGGACTCGGTCCAAATCAAGGATCCATTCTTCAATTTTGTGTTGATTCGGTCCAAGGAAAAATACCCCATGACCGAGTTTTTCTCGATTATTTTTCATTTGATCAGCATACTTCTACAAAAATTAAATTGAACATGGTTAATAACATATAAATAAGAATTAATTATGTAAAAGATGTGTATATGTAAAGAGTGACAACGTTATATGTGCTTTATCTATCTCCCAATATTCACACAAATAAGACCAATCTTCTTTGCTACGACAATCTAGCTTCAATTTAGATCGTGCTAATTGTTGACCGGTCATTCCTCCATTTTTCTTCCAAAAATCTTTCAAAGTATTTCGTGTGTGTTTCCATTGCCTTCGCATTTGCTCATCTACACATTCCATCAAAACTATATCTACATGCGGTATTTAAAATTTTGCCTGTATTTAGTACATATTTTATGGGTCGTTTGATTTACCTTCTAACTGGGTCTGAATTTAGGATATGGTCCTCAGTCTAAAGTCAGCTTGTCTATTTTCCTTTCTATACCTTTGGACTCGGTCCAAATCAAGGATCCAGTCTTCAATTTTGTGTTGATTCGGTCCAAGGAAAAATGCCCCCTGACCGAGTCTTTTGTGCATCGTTCTCGTACTTACCCTTTTCCTTGCCTCCTTCTTCCTATGTAGAACCTTGATTCTCCATCAAACCAACACATAACTTCTCCTTCCACCACCACTTGCTCGCCTGCAATCAATCACCGTACACGTTTTCCACCGTCAGTTAGACTTCTCCTTCAATCGATCACATGGTTTTTCCATCCACCACCAACATGTCATCTTCCTCTTTAATCGATTGGTTGAATCAATAAATGAAATCGATTTCATAAAATTGAGGTTTGATTGTTTGCGATTTGAATTTTTCTTGTTTTCAATGAAAGCGATTTCAGTTTTACTTATTTTCAAAATTGTAATTCAATTCACTATTTTTTCTCTAAACCTTTAGTCTTTTGTTTTGGTTTAAAGATTCAAGAAGGTTGCCAACGTCATTATCCATTGTTTCGACTTGGGACTCATGCTTTTGTTTATGGGTCTTCAATTGGAACTTTTTTGTATTAGATATTTATGGGTCATCAATCGAACTTTTTTGTTTATGGGACATCAATTCGTGTTCTATTTTTGTTATTTCATTTTGTATTATGTTCTTTAGTTTTACAGTTTTTATTCTCATACTTTCATTAAGAATGAATTTATGAGTAAACTAATTCAACATCTATTACTGGAACAAACTATATATATCATATTAACATTATCAAATTCATATTTTTTGTGTTTGTTATATGGAATGGAGAGATGAGTTGAACGAAACAATGTAGATTATATATTACTTGTGAATCATTTGGAATTTCATGTTTTGTCTTTACTTGTTAATCATTTGGAAAACTGCAATGAACTCAAATGATGGAGGTTAGTGATATAAAATAAAGAAAAAATGATTCTTGATATATTATCAAAAAATATTGTTTGAGGGTAATATAGTTATTTTGCATAGTTAGTCAGATGCAAAATCAAACAACATGTTTCAATCAGAAGTTAATTTAGTCAGAACTTATAACCCAGACAGTTTCCAACTCAGTCAGTTCTAGCTCATTTGACCGCTATCAAACGATCCCTTAACCTTTTAGGGATGAGCTTAGAACCAGACCAGTTTAGAACTGGAACTAGATTTGCTTTATTATATGAAGCGAAACATA